GTTTCCTTTCCCCACCTCCTCCCCTGTTGTCTACCAGTACTTGTTATGAGAAATAAATAGTATTTATGTTATTGTGTTTTAAAATGTGGGTTTTTCGTGATTCTGAAACAGCAAATAACAATTTAATACTTTTAATACTTAGTTGGTTTCTTCTTACATATTTCTTTTATTAATTTTAGTTCTATAAGTAATATTTCTTAGATGTCAATAAAACTTAGTCTATACTATGACACCATTTTTGTTAATAACTAAAATAGACTTTTAACTACTTTTAAAGTCCTCCTTAAAATAATTTTCCCATTCAACTGTGATTTGTAACCTTTTGTTGAACCTTCTGTTGAACCTTCTTTGAGAAGCTTCTATTTTATAGTCCCAGGTAAGTTGTTAAATTTCTATGGACTTTTGAGAAACGATATACAAATGCGCTTTACACAATTGGTGTGTGTATGGATTGGGATAACAGTTGTATCCTAATAAAATGTTAAAAAAATAAAATAAAATACTATAAACCACACACACAAAAAAAATTTCTATGGACCTCGGTTTCTTTAAATAAGCATTTTTCGAAGATCTTATAAAACTTTAAAAAGACTAGACTGCTGTATTTATTTAAATTAGATATGAAAAATCTGGGTAGAATTGTTAAAGTTATAGAACTATTCAGTCTCTATTTTCAGTAACTATTTTTCTTTTGATCCTTTTTTCAATATTTGAATACAGATTTCTTTTTTCTTTTTCTAAACATAATAGGTAACTGTCCGATGATACACATACCTGGTTTCACTTTTCCAGTTGTGGAGTATCTTTTAGAAGATATAATTGAAAAAATAAGGTAAGTAATACTAGTTATCAAAGACATTAAACAGTACAAAAATGTCATCTTTCTCATACCAATCTTAAGTCACCATTGACTACTTCCTTCTAAAACTTTTTTCTTAAACCAGATTTCTATACTGTGTTGCATATTAAACTCATTTGAAACTTTTAAAAATATAGATTGCTGGTCCACATGTCATAATTAGATCATAGTGCCTGGGATGATAAGGTTTTAATATATATTTTTAAAGCTTCCTGGGTGGTTTTAATGGGTAGCAAAGAATGGAACCTTTTAACTTTTGCTTTTTTCCTTCCTCTTTCCCCTCCTCTACTCTACTCCTTTTCTCCCTAACCTCCAAACTCTATTTCTTTTGATACAATGACCTTTTTTCTGGGTTTTATTTCTTATCTTTTTCTGTAACCGTATCACGTCTCATATAGTATTTATCATTGTTACTGACAAACTTCACCCAGCATGCTTTCTTTCACTGCCATTGAGTCTTTGCTTGCTCATAGTGTTTCTGAGACTGAACTGTTTACAGGAGTAGAAACCCCAGCCTTTCTCCTGCAGAGGTGCTGGTGGTTTTGACTGCTGAACATGTTGGATCACAACCCAGCGTGTAACCATTAAGCTAGTAGCTTCCAAATTCATTCATGTCATCAGGTGTTTGATAGTTTCATCATTACTGTTTAACAATGTGTAGTGCTCCTTTGATTGTACGACTGACGTTTATACATTTAGGTTTTGGGGACTGAAGTGGTTTCACCTCTCTACTGATTTTCCATCTACCTGATTTTTATTCTCTGTTGGTTCCATTGCCTGCTCTTTAAATTATAGTCTTCTCAATGTATCACATTTTCTGTTTTCATAGCTTTTAAGTGCTTTAGTTGTCTATTCCACATGGTTCTAGTACCACTCATATCTTGAACTTAGTATTTTTCAAGCCATTAACAGGCTCACCATGCTTCTGTCAAAAGTAAAAATAAAATCCACATTATAATAGTTGCTGATACTGTTTTCTACCTAGTTTCTAAACTCTACGAGAATTAATGTTTGAAATGGAAATGCTAACTGCTGTACTATAATAAGGTACTTCTGTCATTCTGTACTTTTCGCCAACACACACAGGATTTCCGCTGAATTTGCTTCAGGGCTTTCTGTTTGAACAGCCCTTTTCAGTTTTCCTACTTCTTGTCCACTTGCGTTCTTGAAGTCTTCATTCTCACCACTGTTCTCTCCCCTACTACTGCCAGGTGTTTTCTTAAACGCTCGGTCATGTGAGCTTTCTCTTCTAGGCAAGCCGTGCATTTGTGATTTTTCTTAAAATATTAGTTTAAAAATCTCCATTGGTTCTTCACTACTGATAGCAGCACCCAGAACACTGGATTCTTCAACTATCTCATTAGCTTCTTGCAACCTTCTCCATGGAACTAGGTGGTGCTGGTTAGATGCAGTTGGGTCGGTTCTGACTCACAGCAACCTTACGTACTGCAGAAAAAAACGCTGCCCAGTCCTGCATCATCTCCACAATTGTTCTTATGTCGGAGCTCATTGGTGAAGCCATTGTGTTAGTCCATTTTGTTGAGGGCCTTTCTCATTTTCGCTGTCCCTCTACTTTACCTAGAATGATGGCCTTCTCAGGGACTGGTCTCTCTTGATAACCTGTCTACAGTTCATGAGACAAAGTCTCGTATCCTTGCTTCTAAGCATCCTGGTTGTACTTCTTTCGAGACAGATTTGTTTGTTCTTTTAGCCGTCCATAGTACTTTCAAGACTCTGTAGCAGCACCGTAATTCAAATGCTTCAGTTCTTCGTCCTCTTCCTTATTCAGTGTCCAACTTTTCACATATGGATGTGGCACTGGGAAATACCATGGCTTGGGTCAGGCATAGGTTAGTTCTCAAAGTAACATCTTTCAGTACTTTCAAGAGGTATTGTGCAGCAGACTTGTAAAATGCAATGCATCATTTGATCATTTCTTGACTGCTGCTTCCGTGAACTCTGATTGTGCACAAAACCCCTGATAACACGTCTTTTTAATTTTTCATTTATCAAGATGTTAACTATTGGTCCAGTTGGGAGCCTTCTTTACATTGAATTGTAATTCATACTGAAGGCTGCAGTCCTTAATCTTCCTCAGCAGGTGTTTCAAATCCTGCTCACTTTCAGCAAGCAAGCTTATGTCATCTATACATTGCACGTTATTTAATCCAGTTTCTCTGATTTTTATTCAGCATACAGATTGAATAAGTATGGTGAGAGGATAACATAGGCCTTTAGTATCAGATCCAATTTCTTTAGCTAGTCATTCCAAAGCCCTTTAACATCTTTTCCTAGCCTTATCTCTCAGTCATGCATCCTGTTGGCTGCCTATGGTCAATGTGTGCTGTTCTCTAGTTTCCTAAGCGGTCCACCTTAATTGATAGCTTCATTCCTTGTTACATACTATTTTCTCTTTTCGGACTTCCTATGCTACCTTCTTCATCCTTTTATCCATTGTAAACTGTTGAATCTGTAAAAACAACTTCTAGCTTTATTGCTTCTTAATGCCTTTTCACAGATTGAGTTGCTTTCTTATCGGGAGTCCCATATCATGTCTTTCTTAACACTTATCTTACTGGCATGGTCAGGATTTGGTTGTGTGCTTCTTCATGGTCAAGGATTTGGTTGTGTGCTTCTTTGTAGCTAGTATCTAGCACAGAGCCTGGCCTACAGTAAACAGCTGAGTAAATAAGAGAGATGTAAAGGACAGTTGCCTTTTTTCTGTGGCTCCCCACCCCCAGACCTCAGAACTCCCAGTGGCATGGCGCGTTCTTAGGCGGACGTGTGTACTGTCTGAGCAGTCAGTGCAGTGTAGCGGAGTCATAGTACAGCGCTAGATTGATGCACAGGAGACTTGCATGCTGATTCTGACTGCTGTATGATGTGACAACTGAAGCAAAGTGAGTAGCTCTCCAGCATGAGTCTGCAGGTCTATGGGTACACTTTTTGAATCTCCTGGGGCACTGATTATAATTCCTATTTTAGTAGGCCTTGGCTGTACTTACTAAATTTAAATCACCAGGCGGTGGAATTTAGGAATGTATTTTTACAAGATCTCAACAGCTGCTTATGTGCAAGCTGGTTTGGAAACTTCTGATATTTAAAATTTGAGTCTTGCTACAGGACAATCAATGACTATTGTAGCTGATTTTTAATCAATATTAACTTGTGTTTTAAAGTTGAAGGTGAAAGCTGTTATTTTAAAATATTTATTCGACTGCCAAAAATGGTATAAAGGTCTATATAGTGAAATAGAGAAAAATACTTCTTATCATAAGTTTTAGCTATTTATATTTAAGTTAACATTTGTGAATTAATATTTAAGAAGCATTTGCTAGGACTACAGTGACAAAATATCTTTAAAGTTCCTTTTTTAATTTTAAATGTAGTGGTGTTAGATATAGCTTAATCCGAATAGTTTCCCCCAAACAACTTAAGGATGTTTTTATTTTAGATATGTCCCATTACAAAAAGAACACAGATCCCAGTTTAAGAAGGGTTTCATGCAGGGGCATGTAAACAGACAAGAAAAAGAAAAAAAAGAAGCCATCTACAAAGAACGTTGGCCAGATTATGTAAGGGAACTTCGGAGAAGGTAAATTTAATTTGTTTGAAAGTAAGAATATAGTGGTAAATGTCTAAAACAGAAAGCCAGGGCTTTTTTGTTTGTTTGTTTTTTAATTTGTACACTTAAATACTATAGATAACTTACTCTAACTAAATACTATTCTCATAATGACTCCTGCACACTGTTAACCAATGATTCTCTTATTTTTAGAGCATGTTCTCTTGTTTGCAGATTGAGGTTTTATAAAGATCCCATGGCAATTTAAATAATAGGAAACTTTATTAGGGTAGATATCTAATCATCACTTTTTCAAATATTTGTAACTTTTGTTTAACTTAACAGGTATTCTGCAGGTACTATAGATGTTTTAGAAATGGTGGACGATGAAAAAGTTGATCTGAATTTGATTGCTGCCCTTATCCGACACATTGTTTTAGAAGAAGAGGTTCGTTTTTATCCTTTTATCCTTTCAAATAGCCTTATTTTAATTTTATTACTATATTTTGGCCCTGAGAAAAGAAAAATATTCTTCCTTTTAAAAAACAGATTATGGAAAACAATCACTTTTGACATCAGAAATAAGAATCTCACATTAAAAGGGATTGCACAAAGTTTATGGAACATTTTTGTTAATCTACAACCAAGTTTATTTTCATAGATTTAGGAAGGCCTGGGTGCAGATTCTCTCTGCATCAGCTTTGAAAGCAGGTTCTTGTCTCTGGTCTCCTGGTTCCTCTTCATGTGGCATCATTTTTCCCTAGCTCTACTTCTCTTGCTGGTTTAATCTTTTTTTGTTGCTGATTGTTTTATTGGCATTGATTCCCATATCATACAATTCAGTAGTTACATTATATATAATCATCACCATAATCAAATTTAGAACATTTTCTTCTTTCTTGTACACATTGCTATTAGCCTCCAACCTCTTCTTCCATCCCTTAACAAACCATTCAGTGACTGTGTCTACATAGATTAACCCATCCTGGATTTCATATTCAGAAAGACATACCCCCCAAAAGACTAACCAACAGCAGTAACAGAACAGAAAACTCTCAATCGAAAAGAAAACAAAGTATTAAAACCTAGAACAGATTTAAAATGTGTCCAAAGGGAAATCATGATAAAGTGTTAAACTTTAACCTAACTGCTTCTGTAGTCTTCCACTTTCCAGAGCACACTACATGATAACAAGGGTATACACATCTCTGGTCTGTTGTCAGGGGGGATGCGCCAGAGTTTTTACTAACCATATGTATTGTGTTTTATTAAAGTGAGACAACTATAAGATGGGTCATAAAGGAGATCACATGGTAAGATAGTACATTTTTACATAACTACATCTGCCGTTAGGTTGTTATGGGTGCCATCGAGTTCCTGTTGAATCCGTTCTGACCCATAATGACGTTGTGCACAACATAAGGCAACACACACCTTAGTCCTGCACCATCCTCACCATCCTCACATGTTGGCCCGTTGTGGCAGCCACTGTGCCAGTCTGTTTTGTCAAGGCCCTTCCTCTTTTCACTGCTCTTCTGCCTTACCTAACATGATGTCCTTCTCCAGGACTGGTCTCTGAGTCACTGCACCATCTTTGCTTCTAAGGAGCACTTGGGACATCACTTCATCCAAGACAGATCAGTTTATCCTGTTAGCAGTCCTTGGTACTTTCAGTATTCTTCTCCAACACCACAATTCAAGTGCATCAGTTCTTTGGTCTTCCTTATTCAATGTTCAATTTTCACATACATATGACGCAATTGAAAATACCATGACTTGGGTCAAGCGCACCTTAATCCTCAAAGTAACATCATTACCATGCTCTGTCTGATAACAAGGCTATATACATCACTCTGCTATGGTCATGGGGTATTTACCAGAGGCTTGATCCATGTGGGAACCCTGCAAAGAGATTTCAGAATTCATCTTCATCTGTAGCTTTTGGTAAACCAGGCGTTCACAATTTAAGCTCTGATACCATTTCCTCCTTCGGATTTGGATTTTATTATTTACCATCCTCGAGTCACATCTTAAAAACCATTTTGACAGAGGAAACCTCACCTAAGCTGGGATCAGCTTTTCAAGATTCGGGGAAGAGGGAGAAGAGTATTCAGTTGCTGTCATTTAGAAATAATCCTACAGTCACCCCCAAATCAATAGACATTCTTACCACAGTAATAAGTGAACCTTACTGGAAATTGTGTTGTTACCTTTAATTCTATTTCCCCCTCATATGAAAAGATTTAGACATTTGACTTATTTGAAACTAAGGTTAAACCATAGGTTCCCAAACTTATTTGGTTTTCTTGTTCCCCCACCCCTTTTAGAAAAAAAAATTACTTAGCACCTTCCAACCCCCAGCAATTAAGAATTTTTTACTATAGTCCATAATCCAAGATAACAGTGTAGGTAATCTGTTCCCTCAGTCCTCTTGGATCCTTCCTTCCAGAATCTCCCAGGGGGTAATATCACCCATTCGGGAAACCCTGGGTTAAACATATGTGAAGCATATTACAAATTCTCATTTTTATATAGGATTACATTTTTTCAGTTGCACTTGCATTCATTTCATTTTAAATCAGTAGCTAATCCTAACCATTTATTCTTGTAAAATTGTAATGAAGTCTTAGTGTGCAGAGAATTTGAATGTTGTTTTTTTTTTTTTAATTTCTTCTCTAAACAGGATGGTGCAATATTAGTGTTTCTACCCGGCTGGGACAATATCAGTAGCTTACATGATCTCTTGATGTCACAAGTGATGTTTAAATCAGGTATGCATACTTGTAGCCATTACAGGAGTGGTAGGGCCCATGATTTTACTTCATTTGAAGGAGGGTTGCTTCTGCGGCTGCCATAAGTGTCAGAACCTAGTGATTAAAGCCCAGCTTTGGTTTTTCAAAAGTTACTTTATGTTATCTTTAAAATCCACAGGTTCAGTTGTTGGATATGTGGTGATGTTAATTATTTAGTATTATGAAGTATTTTGTATTTTGTCACTTTCCCTAAATTTGCCTTTTAAAATTTGGCCTCAAAATTAAGATGTTAGTGTTTGAAATTTTGTATTGTTCCCTATGAACT